AAAATGCTATACTGCTAGCTTGGAGATGGAGAAAGGGGCCAAGAGCTAGGAAGGCACACAGCTTCCAGAAGCTTGAAAGACAAGGAAGTGGATTCTTTGCTTAAGTTAAAGGAACACAACCCCGCCAACACCTTGGATCTGCCCAGTAAGACCCATTTCAGACCTCTGAACTCAGAGCTATAAGACAGACTTCCAGGAGTTTTTTTTTTTATTTCTTCAATCAAAGACAAATAATAACGCCAGTCATCCTCACGATAGCCCCATAAGACAGACAGGCATTATTATTTTTTAAATATATTTTATTGATTTTTTACAGAGAGGAAGGGAGAGAGAGAGAGAGCTAGAAACGTTGATGAGAGAGAAACATCGACCAGATGCCTCCTGCACACCTCCTACCAGGGATGTGCCTGCAACCAATGTACATGCCCTTGACTGGAATCGAACCCGGGACCTTTCAGTCCGCAGACCGACGCTCTACCGCTGAGCCAAACCGGTTTCGGCCAGACAGGCATTATTATCTCCATTTTCCACGTGGGGAAACTGAGGCTTTCCCGAGCTAATAAGGAGCACGGCCCGCATTGAAAGCCGGACCTGTCTCCAAAGCTTGTCTCCGGTAGGCCTGAGGAAAGACTTGAGACCACCCATCACGTTCTCCACTAGAGGGCGCCTGCACGGGCTTCAGCCAAAGGTGCTGGAGGTCTTTCCGGCTGGAGCAGGGGCCGAGGGTGAGAGGACCCTGGAGATCCACCCCCTCTGAGGACCTCAGTGAAGACAAACTTGAACTTTTCAGCGTTCCTCCCTGGCTTGGGTCTGCTTTCACCTAGACCCGTGGTCGGTAAACTGCGGCTCGCAGGCCACATGCGGCTCTTTGGCCCCTTGAGTGTGGCTCTTCCACAAAATACCACGGCCTGGGCGAGTCTATGTTGAAGAAGTGGCGTTGGAAGAAGTTTAAGTTTAAAAAATTTGGGCCAAAACCTGTTTGGCTCAGCGGATAGAGCATCGGCCTGCGGACTGAAGGGTCTCAGGTTGGATTCTGGTCAAGGGCATGTTACCTTGGTTGAGGGCATATCCCCAGTAGAAAATGTGCAGGAGGCAGCTGGTTGATGTTTCTCTCTCATCGATGTTTCTAACTCTCTATCCCTCTCTCTTCCTCTCTGTAAAAAAAAAAAAAAAATCAATAAAATATATTTTAAAAATAAAAAATTTGGCTCTCACCTAACCGGTTTGGCTCAGTGGATAGAGCGTTGGCCTGCGGACTAGAGGGTCCCAGGTTCAATTCCAGTCAAGGGCATGTACCTTGGTTGCGGGCACATCCCCAGTAGGGGTGTGCAGGAGGCAGCTGGTTGATGTTTCTCTCTCAACGATGTTTCTAATCTTTCTCCCTCTTCCCTCCTCTCTGAAAAAAAAATCAATAAAATATATTTTAAAAAATTGGCTCTCAAAAGAAATTTCAGTCATTGTACTGTCGCTATTTGGTTCTGTTGACTAATGAGTTTGCCGACCACGGACCTAGACCAAGACAAATAGAAGCCTAGTCATTGGGCACCGGCCCACAGCCAGATTGCCCGTGTTGTCTCTTGTAACCTTGGGCAAGCTCCTTGTGGCTCCCTGTCTTTGATTCCTATTCTGTAAAATGGGGATAATAACAGTAGCTGCCTTTGAGAGAAGGCATGAGTTATTGTATGTGATGGGCCTAGAAGAGTATCTACACAAAGTAACGCCGATAACTATTATTGCTTCTGTTATTACTTCAAATTTGTGGAATTTTTGCGGGTGTGATTAATTGAAAGATCGTTGCGATGGGGAGATTATTCTGGATCATCCCGGTGGACCCTAACTGTAATAACAAATGTGCTCCTGAGACCGAGGCCGAGGGCCATTCGGCCACCGGAAAGGAGGCAATGGAGAGCCTTTGCAGGCCCAAGATGCCCTCGCAGATAGAGGAAGCTGGCCACAGGCCAAAGAATGCAAGGTATGCAGTTCCAGGAGCTGGAAAAGGCTAAGGAAACGGAAGCTCCCCTGGAACCACCGCAGGGAGTGTGGCCTGCTGATAACCTTGATTTCAGTCCGGTGAAATGTTTCAGACTCCTGGCCTCCAGGACCGAAAGAGAATAATAAATGGGGGTCGTTGTAAGCCACCAGATTTGCGGTCATTCGTTAAAGCAGCAGTAGGAAACTAGCACAGAAAACATCAGCATCAACGGTGAAAAGGAGTCTGGTGGCTCTGGAGACACCCAGGCAGAGCGAGAAGAGCCAGGGGCCCAGCAGAGGGCTCCCCACGGCTCTGGCAGTTCAGGTCCGTGCAGAGGAGGCACATCTCAGCCCCGGTCTCTGGGGAGGAGCAGTCAGAGAGGAGGGAGGACCACCAAGGGGAAGGGTTGTCCCAGCCCCAGTCGGTTTGGCTCAGCGGATAGGGTGTTGACCTGCGAACTAAAGGCTCTCGGACAAGAATCTCACGACCGATCGATGGGAGAGAGACACGTGTTTCTCTCTGGCTCTCCCCGTCCCTTCCACTCTCTACAAATCCATGGGAAAACATCCTCGGCCAAGGGAACATGTGTTTCAAGAAGGAAGGAGTGGCTAACAGTGCCAGATGCTCCCAGAAACCAAGCAAGAGAAGTAAGTGCCTCTTGTGTTTTAAGAGGAGGGGAGCCTAGTTGACCTCCTGCGAGTCCCTGGGGTGGAAAGCAGACTGGAGCGGATCAAGAGGTGCCTGCGGCTGAAGCAGTTGTCCTTCACAGCACATTTGTCCTGTCTCCACCAGATTTTTTTCAACTTTTAATTTGAAATTAAAAAATTACATATTTTTTTCAACTTTTAATTCTATTACCCAAGTAGTTTATGTCCCTTATAGAAAAGTTAAGATACACAAATTAACCAAAAAAAAAAAAAAAGTACTCGTAATATCCTCAGGTGGTAATATTTTAGTGTATGGCTTTTCAAGTTTTCCTTTTCTACACAAAGTATATAATTCTCTTGATCAACTTACAGGATAACATGCCATTAGGCCATTTTAAGATGACGAGATTCCTTCTTAGCAATTTCCTCAGCTGCACACAGCCGGTGAGTAGCAAGCAGCACCAGGATTGAAACTTAGATGATGACTCCACACACGGCTGGCTGGCTCAGTGAGCATCCACCTATGAACCAGGAGGTCACAGTCGGATTCCTAGTCAGGGCACATGCCCAGGTTGTGGGCTTGATCCTTAGTGGGGGAGCGGGGCACGCAGAAGGCAGCCAACCAATGAATGAATCTCATCATTGATGACTCTCTTTTTTAAAAAATATATTTTTATTGATTTTTTACAGAGAGGGAGAGGGATAGAGAGCCAGAAACATCGATGAGAGAGAAACTTTGGTCAGCTGCCTCCTGCACACCCCCTACTGGGGATTCACCCACAACCAAGGTACATGCCCTTGACCGGAATGGAACCTGGGACCCTTCAGTCCGCAGGCCGACACTCTATCCACTGAGCCAAACCGGTTTCGGCTCATCATTGATGTTTCAACCTCTCTCTTTCTTCCCTTCCTCTCTGAAATTAACTTAAAAAAATAAATTATATATATATATATATATATGAAATAGACCCATTAGACTCCAAAGCACAAAGATTCTTCAGCTCGGTGCTTCCCTGATATTTGCCTGAAGGAATCTTTTCCAGACGGCCTGAGCGTCCAGAATGAAATCGAAGTGGATCTGTTTTCCGAACACCATCCTTATCCACTGAAAGATGTAGGTGGTTCCCAAGAGGAAGTTAGTGCGTGAGGAGGAGTGGCGGTCTTCAGACTGGTAGGGCTGGTGAGCGGGGTCCAGGGGTAGAAGGCACCAGACGAAGCCCAGGAAGAAAGAAGGGCGTGGACCGAAACCGGTTTAGCTCAATGGATAGAGTGTCGGCTTGGGGACTGAAGGGACCTGGGTTCGATTCCGGTCAAGGGCATGTACCTTGGTTGCGGGCATATCCCCAGTGGGGGGTGTGCAAGAGGCAGCTGATCGATGACACTCTCTCATCGATGTTTCTAACTATCTCTCTCCCTTCCTCTCTGTACAAAATCAATAAAATATATTTTAAAAAAAGAAAAAAAAGAAAGAAGGGCGTGGGTGAGAAGGCCAGGTAAAAAGGAGAGGGTTACTGAGCACCTATCGGGCACACGCACGCGTTAGATTCTTTCCTCGCTACACCATAAACGAATGGGCTTCAGACTTCCCGTTTTTGCAGAGAAGGAAACAGGTTCCAAGAAGGAAACGTTTTTCCCAAATCGCAGTTACGCGGGGGGAGGGGGCGGGGGGGCTCGCCACACAGACCCGGGAGGCGGGGCATGCGGCTGGGGGGTCCCTGGTGGCGCACGGAATGGGAGGCTGACAGCTGGGTGTGGGGAGCAAGGGAGAGGCGGGCTGATTCCGGGAGGAGCGGTTCCCCGGGACAGGCAGGGCTTGAGGAGGTGGTGAAGCTGAAGGGGCGAGGCCAAGGGGGCTGGGAACGAAGGGAGGGAGGAGAACCTGGGAGCGGAACCTGGAGGGCGGCAGGGGGCCTGGGGAGCTTCAGGGAGGCCGGGGCGGACCGAGGAAAGGGGCGGAGCCTAGAGAAAAGGGGCGGGCCGAGAGGAAAGGGGCGGGCCGAGAGGCAGGGGGCGGGGCTGTGGGAAGGGGCGGGGCAGGAGCCAGGCACTGGCAGGCCAGGGGCGGGGCTTAGAAGAGGACGGGGCGGGGCCTGGAGGAGAATGGGGCGGGGCCGAGACGATGAGAGGGCGGGGCCGAGAAGAGGGCGTGGCGTGGCTGGGACGGGGTGGGGACTCCGGGACCCGAGGCGACTGGACAGGGCGCTGGAAGGCAGTCGGGGGCGGGGCGGGGCGGCGCGGAGGGGGTGGGGCGTGCGGAGGCCCGGACGGCGCCCTCGGAGGACGGTGCGGCCAGCGCAGAGCTGTGTAGTGAGCGCGCCCCGCGCCCCGCGCCCGCAGCCCCGGAGCCCCCGCCGCCCCGGAGCCCCCGCCCCGCGCCCACCATGCCCGAGCAGCTCAGCGTCGCGGAGTTCCTGGCCGTCACCGTGGAGGACCTCAACTCCCCGGCTGGGGCCGCCGCCTTCGCCGCCAAGATGCCCCGGTGCCGGGGGGCGGCGCTGGTGCGGGAGGAGGTGAGGGGCCGAGGCGGGAGGGGTCCCGGGTCCCGGCAGGGCCTCGCCTTGACGTTCACCGGGGTGGCGGGAGCTGCATTGGCCCTTACTGCTCCCCAAAACCTTCCCCTTCCCTAGATCCGTGAGAACCGGGTGCATCTCAGACATCCGCGTCCCCACCGTCGAGGCCTTGGGGAGGGCCGGCCGGAGGGATGGTTTGTGGGGGGCCTGGAGGTCACCTCGACGACAGGTCACAGGTCGGGGGTCCTACCCCACCCCCACCCCGTGTTCTTGGCTTCCTGCACCATCGCCTGTGTTTGCTCAGCTCCTCGCTGCGGCTGTTTGGGTTTTCATCTTCGGAGCACCACGGGTTTGGCCCCAAAGTCACTCCTCTTCTGGGAAGCGGGCCTGCCCGCCTCAGTCAGGAACTTTTCCCTGGCTGCAGGCAGGCCCCCTCCCCCTGGCTGCTGGCTCCGAGATTTGGCCGGTGTTTGTGGAATGAATGCAAATGAGAAGGCGCCGGGAGCCGGGGTTCACCTTGGCCAGGCTGTTGGCAAGTTTCTAGTCTCCTCCCCTTTCCCCTCTCCTCTTTGTCTCTCCCAGCAAGGCCTTTTCTTTCCCCTTTGCCGGCTGCCCCACCCCATTCCCCTGCTCTCTGGAGTTCACTCCTCTTCTGGGACCTGCTGCACTTCACCGGGCTGCCCCTGCAGGGAATGTTCTAGGGCAGACCCCCTGCAGCTCTGGGCCAGGGGAGGATATGTTTCTGCAGCTCCCTTCCAGAGGATGCCCTGAATTTGGGTGACGTTTTGGACCTCAGCTGTTGCTGTCACCTTCCATCCTTCACCGGAAGAGCATTGAGCGCCTACTGTGTGGCTGACACCAAGCTCAGTAGTTCATAACGCCCTGGATCCGTGTCTTGGGAGATTTCCTTTCCTTCTCTCCTCTCAGAGTCTGCGCCTGTCACTCTGAAGCGGGTGATGGACGATTGGGGAAAGAGAAGTGGCTGTGGCGGAGGCAGGCTGTGTCCAAATCCTGGCCCTGCAGCTTGCCAGCTGTGTGAGCTTGGGCATGTGACCTGATTTGTGTGAACCCCACTCTGGCATGTGTGAAATGGAGATAACAGTGTTTACCTGCAGGGCTGTGGCATGACGTGAGGCCGTGCATGGGAGGCACGCCTCTTTTTTTTTTTTTTTTTTTTTTTTTTAATATATTTTATTGATTTTGTACAGAGAGGAAGGGAGAGAGATAGAAACATCGATGAGAGAGAGTCATCGATCAGCTGCCTCTTGCACACCCCCTACTGGGGATATGCCCACAACCAAGGTACATGCCCTTGACCGGAATCGAACCCGGGACCTTTCAGTCCCCAAGCCGACGCTCTATCCATTGAGCCAAACCGGTCTCGGCGAGGCACGCCTCTTGATAAATGGAATCACGATCCGATTAACCGACGGACTGACCAGGTCTCTTCTTTTGTCCATTTCTCTTACAGAGCCCAGCCTAGTGCTTTGCACATAGTGGGGGTACACGTTTTCGTTAAAATAAGCAGCCAATCTTTGGCCTCCTTCCTTGGGCAGGACCAGTAGCTCAGAGTCCACCAACTATGACTACGGCTTGTATCTCCCAGGGAGACAGCCGCAGGGCCTGATCCTGAGGAGACAGCGTCCCCCAGTTTGTCTTCAGAGTGTCATATTTCCTGACCTGGAAGAATTCAGTGCCTTTGGCACCCGTAGGGCTGTCACAGTTCAGCCTCTCTATTGGGTTGTTCATTAAAATGTCAAATCAGAGCAGGAGAAGGAAGTGTACTATGGAGCCTTCTCCGGGGACAGAAATGCCCATTTATGCCGGTGCATCTGGGCCTGCCTGGCTCGGTGTGTGTGAGTACTTGTGTGTGTGTGTGTGGAGGGGAGAGGCTGAAGCAGGCTCTGGTGAGGGTTCAGCTTTGCCCCAATTCAGATGCAACAAAACTCGGTCTCTTTTGCCTTTGGGACTTTGATTCGGTGCACGTGGGGTTTGTTTTTACAGCAGAAAGCCCGTGGCACCCAAGCCTCTCTTTCACTGCCCAAAAGGCTAGAATCTGACCTTTGGATTGGACTTGCCAGAGGTTTCCTGTTTGGTTTTCCATTTGTGTTTATATTTACACTAGAGGTCTGGTGCGTGAAATTCGTGCACTTGTGGGGGGTGAGGGTGGTGTTCCTCAGCCCGGCCTGCACCTTCTTGCAGTCCAAGAGCTCTCGGGGGAAGCCCAACTGCTGGCTTAGGCCCACTCCCCCCTAAGCCATCAGCCGGACATCCTTAGCGCTGCTCCAGAGGCAGGTAAGGCTCCTGCCATCGCCAGCCATGATCCTGGCTTCTGGCTGAGTGGCACTCCCCCTGTAAGAGTGCATTGACCATTAGGGGGAATCTGCTGCATTGAGCATCTGCCCCCTGGTGGTCAGTGCATGTCATAGCAACCCATTGTTCAGCCATTTGGTCAATTTGCATATTAGCCTTTTATTATATAGGATGTAGTTTGAAGCTGGCATTCCCACTCCCCTTTTCTGGCATGATTAACCCACCCCTAGGCTTGAAGAGGTATGAATTTGTCTAAATCAAAATGCAACTGATTCTTTTTTTTTTTTTTAATCCTTATTGATTTGAGAGAGAGAAACATGAATATGAGAGAGAGACATCAATCAGTTACACGTCCTGACAGGGGATTGAATTCAAAATCTGGGTATGTGCCCTGACTTGGGAATTGAACCCATGAGCTTTCAGTGTATGGGACTATATTTCAGCCAACTGAGCCACACCATTGATGTTTCTCTCCCATCAATGTTTCTAACTCTCTATCCCTCTCCCTTCCTCTCTGTAAAAAAAATCAACTGATTTTTTTTTTTTCAACTGATTCTTAATTCAAGTCTTCCAGTCCCAGTTGGTTTCCTGGGAGTAACTAGGGACTCCGTCCTGGACTTGCAGACCTTTTGCTGAGAAGGACCTTGGGCAGCTCACAGGAATCTAGAATATTAGCCCTGGGGGACCCTTTGCGATAGAGATCACCTAGGGAGGCTCTTACTGGAGATGAGGAAACTGATGACCCCAGCGAGCAAGAGAGTTGTCCAAGCAGCCACAGCTGAGTGAGGGAAGAATTGGCATGCCTACACAAATGTCCTAACCCCTGCTCCTATGCTCTTCAAAGATCAACTGCCTGTCCTCCTTCTGTAACCTCTCTGAACCACGGCTACTTCCCCCTAAAATGGGTCTATTCATGCCTCCTTCTCTGGGTTGCTAAAGGTTTTTGTTTTTTATTGTGAAACTCTGTACAAAAGTGGGAGAGTCTTAAGGCAGATCACCATTCTATCCACCACCTTTTCCTGTTCTGGGGCCCCTTTTACATCCACTGTCTCATTGATATTCGCAGTAACACGGGTGAAAGTGGGCCCAGGAAGGTTAAGGCAGTTGCCTTGTGTCACATAGTGAGTCTGCCTGACTCTGCTCCATGCCATCTCTATGCTAGGCATTGAGGGCCTTACGATACTGCTCTTGTTTGCTGGCTGGTTGGGGAGAGGTAGCCTATCTTAGAGAGATAAGTAGGAATCCTTACCTGAGGGCCCAGAGAAAGGTACAGTCAGTGCCATGGAGGTTGTTAAAGTAGGGCAGGGAGAGAGCAGTGAGGACTGGTGCAATCATGGAGAGCTTCCTGGAGGAGGTGACACTTCCAGATGGGCATTGAAGGATGGAAAAACTCCATGAAGTTGAAGGAGATAAGAGTGAATTTTGAGATTGGTGGGAAGAGAGCATATTCAGGAAACAAGTAAGCCATTTTGACCAGTGCTGAGAATTCATGCTATATCATGCATCTCAAACTACTAGCGAACTTATATCTCCTAGTAGGTCTCAAATGAAGCCGTTCACCACAAATAGGAGATCTTCAAAGGCTTGTGATATACTGTGTGTGTGTGTGTGTGTGTGTGTGTGTATATATATGACTTAATGAAGTTTTTTCTTTTTAAAAAAATATATTCTATTGATTTTTTTTACAGAGAGGAGGAGAGAGGGAGAGAGAGCTAGAAACGTTGATGAGAGAGAAACATCAACCAGCTGCCTCTTGCACACTCCCTACCGGGGATGTGCCTGCAACCAATGTACATGCCCTTAATCAGAATCGAACCTGGGACTTTTCAGGCCTCAGACCAATGCTCTACCACTGAGCCAAACCAGTTTCGGCTAGACTTAATGAAGTTTTAATTGCACAAAGGATATAATAATATTTAATTTAAAAATTTCAAAACAGCCCTAGTCGGTTTGGCTCAGTGGATAGACTTTTGGCCCACGGACTGAAGGGTCCCAGGTTCGATTCCAGTCAAGGTCATTGACCTCGGTTGCAGGCTCGATCGATCCCTGGCTCTTCCTGGGGCACATGCAGAAAGCAACCATTCGATGTGTCTCTCCCACATCGATGTTCTCTCTCCCTCTGTATCTCCCCCTCCCTCCCATTCTCTCTAAAAATCAATGGGAAAATATCCTTGGTTGAGTATTAACAAAAAAAAATTTTTTTTTAAAACATAACTGAGCCGAAACCGGTTTGGCTCAGTGGTAGAGCGTCGGTCTGCAGACTAAAGGGTCCCAGGTTCGATTCCGGTCAAGGGCATGTACATTGGTTGCGGGCATATCCCCGGTGGGGGGTGTGCAGGAGGCAGCTGGTCGATGGTTCTCTCTCATCGACGTTTCTGGCTCTCTATCCCTCTCTCCTCCTCTCTGTAAAAAATCAATAAAAATATATTAAAAAAAAAAAAAACCAACTGAAAAGTTATGTTTTAAAAAATTTTTTTTAAATCATCTCTGACCACACCTCACAATCCCTGTACTCTCCCTAGAGATCATTGCTATGGAACTGCGTGCTTTCCAATGTGTGTCCTCAGAAAATATATTATCAGGGAGGGGATGGTAGTTAGGGAACATATTTGCCTAAATTGCTATCATGTCTTATACTTCACAGTTTTAAAGTTTATTGGAGTTAAATTTATCTTTTCTTTTGTGAT